CCCACAGATGGAACCCTCTCTAAGCTACATGTGTCTGGCACGGAGAAAAACGTAAGGGCCGCGAAAGTATTAACGATTTGTTGCTGAAAGCGCACTCAAATTCTCCCACCGCACCGATGGTGCCGCCGGATGCGGCCACGGCTACACGCCGCGAGCTCCACATGCCCGGATGTGCGCCTTGAGCTGCGGCATGTTCCGACTCTCCTGGCCACATAGATGGCAGGCGAGCGGCGCCTTCAGCAGGGCCCGGTACTCGGCCTTCTCGCTCTCCGACAGCCTCCAGCCAAGACCGGCCTCGAACCGCGCCACCATGTCGCTGGCTGGAACAAAGAACCGGCTGGTGAACGAGTTCCAGTGCTTCTTGTTCTTGAGGCTCACCGAGTCGTAATCTCTCGAGATGACGTGAAGATGCACGACGTTCATCGAGGGGATGGCGTGGAAGCCAAAGGCAAACGAGCTCTCCGGCGGGAGGCCAAACTTGCTTGAGCCCGACAGCTCGCCAGCTGCAAAGGCCTTGCCGCGCCTCACAAGCGTCTTGACTAGCGCTAGCGACTCGGCGGCGGCGCCGTCCAGCAGCGCCAGCGTGCCTTGCCCGAGCGACGACCGCGGAAGCACCAGGTAGTGGTGCTGCGCCTTGGGATACTTGTCGCGGATGATGACCACTTCCTCGTCGACCGCAACCACTGCGTCCGGATGATCGTATGGCCGCGCCACAATGGCCCGCAGCGCGTTCTTCCACCCTGTTGTGGCCGGCCTGCCACTTTTCCGGGTGGGAACCGGTGCTGCCGTCAGTACAGGCACCGCGCCTGCCATATCGATCGCCACCGACGGCGGCGGCGCGGTCGTGCTCGCCGTCTCTTCCAGCTGGGCAAGCCACAGATCCAGCACGTTGCGGTAAGCAAGGCTGAGCTTGGCATCACCTGCAGCATAGTCGCCGTCCAGCGAGGCGTCAAACTTCTTGTTTGGGTTCATGTTCGGCGGGACGACAGCGATGAGGCGCGATACCTGACCAAGCCGCCCGCCTAGGCTGGACTCGTCCAGCTGGACCGCATACGCCCGGCCGACATCGCCAGCTTTGTGCACTTGTTTGAGCGTGCGCGCAAGTAGAGGCCCACACAGCGCGTGAACCCGCGCGTTGAGCCCGCCTGAGGCCTGCGACGCCTTGAACCGCCAGTTGCTCTCAAACACCATCGTCGCACCGAGGCTCACCCACGGTTCCCCGGGGAGTTCAGCATCGACGTCGATCTCCAGCCTCGCCACACCGTGCGCATCTTCCGAGCATACTCTGGCAAACGCAGCTCGCGCTGCCTCGCTCGTGCTGGCGTCACCGGCGAAGACCACCTCACCGCGGACAGCCGAAATTCGTTCGCGTGCTCGTGCAAGCTCAGTTCCAGCCACCGATGCTGAGCGTTCTGGGTCATACCCAAACGCGCACTCCTCAGTTGCCAACAGCGGCATCACAAGGCATCGCGCCACCCGGCACTCGCCGCCGCAGTCGTCGTCGTCAAACTTGCCCGACCGCGACGGCGAGCTCAGTATTTGTGGCGCAATGCCATCGATTCGTCGTGTCCGCGCCGGTGCGGCCGAAAGAACAGGACTTGCTTCAACATGGCCCTCGGAAACGCTCGGCTCGGCCGGCTCGGCCAACTCGGCCGACTTGTTCGCTGCCGCGCCGCTGGACGTGTCGGCCTGCGGCGACGGAGCCGGCGGCCTCTCCCGCACGATGTCCTCGGACTGCGGCGCAGCTGGTGCCAGCGTTGGCGGTAGCGACGGCGACACATCCTCGACCGGCGCCATTGTCTGCGTCACAGCATCAGTCAGCATCGCCCGCTCCACGTCCGAGTTCTGCGACGATGCCACAATGCGCCGCCCGTCAAGCGCCCTCTGCATCTTGGTTGCTCTGCCCCGCTCCTCACTCTCGCCCTCTTGCTTTCGCTCTCGCTTGGCAGAGCCTGGAGCCTCGCTGGCACCCGCCTCTTGGGACCAGGGCTCGACTATGGAGACCTCAAAGACAAAGCTACTGCCGACGAGGGCAAATGCGTCGCCCGAAGCAAGCTCGGCCGTCCCTCCACTGCCGGCCAGCGCCACGCCCGAGGTTCGCGAGGAGCTGCTGCTGCTCTGTACGTAGCCGCGGAACACACGCCCTGCGTTGCGCCCGTTGAGTGTTACCACCAGCCGCCCTCCGATGGCATCAAAGTCGAGCGTCGCCTGCTTGCGTGAGACGGTGCGGTCGGCAATGCCAGACTGCGGCCCGCGGCCGAGTACAAACCGCCCGGGCGGCAGAACCAGCGCAGGCAACTGCCCGCCGACCGCCTCGTCCACCCGCCGCAGCTCGGCCCGGTACATGCCTTCAGAACTACTGTAGCCTCCGCCTTTGCTCGCCGAGGCCGTGCGGCGAGTGTGGACAGCCTTTGGCAGGGCGACGTGTGCGCGACCTCGGCACTTGTTCGCGTCTTGCCACGTGGTCCGTCGCCTCCCCTGCCCCCCCGCACTACCGCCGTCACACCTCACTCGACCATGTACGACCTCGTCATTTACGGTGCCTCAGGCTTCACCGGCTCACGCATTGCCCACCAGGCCGTCCGCATCCTCGGGGCCAAGGTCTCGCTCGCCCTCGCCGGGCGGACGCAGGCCAAGCTCGAGGCCGTCAAGCGCGAGCTGTGCCACGCGTTCCCGGACCTCGCTCCGGCCCTCGCTTCCAAGGTCGGCATCATCATTGCGTCGACCGCCGACGTCGACTCGCTCGCCGCCATGGCTGGCGTAGGCAAGGTTGTCGTCAACGCTGTCGGCCCGTTCCGCATGCACGGCGAGCCCGTCGTCGCCGCCTGCGCGGCCGCCGGCACCGACTACGTCGACGTCTCGGGCGAGCCCGAGTTCATCGAGACCATGGCAGCTCGCTACGACGATGCCGCCAAGGCCTCCGGTGCTCTCATTGTCTCGGCATGCGGTATGGACTCCATTCCCTGCGACATGGGCGTTGTCCACGCCGCCCAGCTCGCTGCTGCCGAGGGCCTCGTTCCGACCGCCATCGAGGCCTACCTCTCTGTCTCCACCGCCGCCGTCCCCGGCGTAGGCTCGGTTGTCATCAACGCTGGCACGTGGGACTCGCTCATCTACTCGTTTGCCAACGTTGCTGCTCTTCGTGCCCTCCGCCGCGCACACCCGATGCCACGCCTCGAGTTTGATGCACGTCGCAGCACCTCGTTTCCGCGCCGCGGCAAGACGTTCACCCCGCCCGCCGACGTCGGCGCCGCCTACGCGGTTCCTTTTATGGGCGCCGATGCCTCGGTTGTTCGCCGCTCGCAGGCTGCCCGCCAGGCCGCTGGCGATAAGCCTGTCCGCTTTGGCGTCTTCCTCACCCTGCCCTCACTCAAGGCTCTCATCATGTACATGGCGTGGGGCTTTGTCTTTGGCATTTTTGCCTCCTTCCGCCTTGGTCGCTCTTTCCTTCTGCGCTTCCCATTCCTCTGCTCGCTGGGCAAGGTCTCGCGCGACGGTCCCAACGCTGTCACTCGCGCTGCCACCACCCTCTCGCTCAACATGGTTACCAAGGCTGTGCCTGCTGATGCTGCCGATCCGGCCTCCACCGATGCTCCGCCGGTCGCCACTCTCCACACCCGCATCGAAATCAACGACCCGGGCTACGACGGGACTGCTGCATGTGTTGTCCAGTGTGCCGCAACCATGCTTGAGGAGCGCACAGCACTCCCGCCCGGCGGCGTCACCACCTCTGCCGCCGCCTTTGCCGGCTCCAAGCTCCTCGACCGTCTCGCCGACTCGCCCATCACCTTTACTCGCGTCGCGGCGACGTCATCTTCCTAGTGTGGATGGAGTCGGACTCGCGGCTTGTCGTTGCATCCGAACCGGAGCTTGCAGTACGTGCCCGCAAGGACTACAGCGCTCACGCCCCAGCACACAAACATGATGTAAACCTCCTTGACCAGATGCGGCGTGTGCTGCCGGTGCGTGTCAAAGTTGGCTCCAACCTTGGATCCAACCCGCACCCGTTCACCTGTCGCCTTGCTGCTTGTCTTGCCGCTCGTGACACGTGGCGTCTTCTCGGGCACCACTCCAGTCGCTGCGCCGGCGTCGGCGCCGGCGTTGCCACTGATGATCGTGGTGTGGGTGTGGGAGTGGGTGCAGGAGTGGGTGCGGGAGTGGGCGCAGGAGTGGGCGCAGGAGTGGGCGCAGGAGTGGGCGCAGGAGTGGGAGCGGGAGTTGCGGTTGCGGTTGCGGTCGGGCTCGGGCTCGGGCTCGGAGTAAGAGTCCGAGCGGGCGCCGGCGCCACTTGCCGGCCTGCCACCACAGCCTCGCTAGGCTCCAGGTGCACCAGAAATGACTTGATGGCAAGTGGACCGAGCTTGAGCTCGGGCTCGCTCGCTCCGACCTCCAACAGGCGTCTCTGCGCTCCGGCCTTGGCGAGGTCGTCGAGCGCAGCCTGAGAAATAAAGACGCCAGCCTCGTCGGTGTTCTGCGACGCGCCCGGCCCGTCGCCGCCAGCGGCAAGCTTGGCCTGCACGTCAAAGTCGTCGCGCTCCAGATGAAGGAGCGAACCAATAGCCCGCCTTGTGCCGCGGTCCTCGTCCCCTGCAAGAAGCGCAGGGCGGAGCGCGCTTACCTTGACCGGTTGCCCATCCAGCGCCAGCAACTTGTCGAGCGGCGGAATCGGTGTCTGGCGATTGTCTTCGGCGAGTGACGAGACCTGGATCAGGACGTCGTCAGCCGTCGCTGTCATGCTCTTGAGCGTGAGCAGATGCGCCGGCGTCTCCAGCGGCGCCGCCATCCCTTGCGCAGCGAGCGTGAAGACTGCCTCCCACTCGCCGTCGCCAAACCCGCGGGTCGAGGCAAAGACAAGCGGCGGGTGCTCGAGCATGTGCGCAGCCTGCCGCCGCCGTGCTTCCACACCGTCAGCAGAGCCGGCATACAGCCACATGACGCTGGCGTACCGCGCTGCGTCGCGCGGCGGTTCAGCGAGTCCACGCCCATCATCTTGCATGAGCTGGCGATGTAGAAAGACCTCGATCTCGCCAGACGCCAGCGAGGTCACCCCACGCGGCTGGGTCGAGAGCACCGCAAACGCGCGCTTCTCGTCGCGCACCAGCGCCGTCGCCAGGCACGGGTACACGTTGGTGTGGATCGGCTTGCTTGCCACCCGCACTCGCTTCATCACCTGCAGGCCAGAGTCGGAGTAGAAGGTCTCTCCTGACGCCACCGCCGTCTCGAACCGGAGCGAAACCTCGTTGTCTGGCGCGGCTACCACTGAGACGTCCAGCTCAACCATGAGGCCCTCGAGCCGCTCGCCAGCGCCCACAGACGCCCGCACGCTCACCTCAAAGGCAATCGCACCGCGCACCACCTTGGCGCTCTCAAACAGCGGGCCGCGGACAAGCCGCACCGCGTGCGCCTCGCTCGCCACGCTCATCTTGACCCCTTCCGACTGTGCACGGAAAATGTACGCACCGGATCGGGTCGATGCGTACTGCACAAACGCTTGCCGGGCCTCCATTGCCTCCTCGCCGTCGTGCGCAATTGATGCCACAAGCCCGTCCTCCAGAACCACGCTTGTCCTCGTCCCAGTCAGCGTCAGCTGCCCAGGAATAGCCGAGTGATACACAATGCCGTCAACGCCCTCCTCGGCATCTGCCTTGCCCTGCAGCGCACCCGAGTAGACATCAACCGTCGTTGCTGCCAGCGCAGATCTGACATCGCGATGAACCTTGAACGTACGACTCTCCAGCGGGCCGAGCTCGGCTTCAAAGTGCAACGCGTACCGTGCCGGCGCCGGCTCGGTCTCAAACACCTCTGAAGCGCCGGCGCCAGTCGCCGGCCGCGTTCCGCCCACTCCGGCGTGCGGCGACGGTGCGTAGTGCGCGTCGTCCCAATGAGGCACAACTTGGATCGTCAACGCCTCGCCGCTCGCATCAGTCACGCGAACCTTGGAGCTCGTCACCATGACCTTGACCAACCGAGAGGTCGGCCATGCCAGAGACGACGACACAACCACTACATATCCGGCGTTGCCGTCAAGAGCTTCCACGTCCAGCACCCGATCTGACGCCACGGCGTCGCGCAAGCCGGCGGCCGCAGCTAACTCGCCAACCTCAGCCGCTGCCGCAAGGGAATCTTGCGACGCGAGCAGCAGCGGCAGCAGCGCAGCCTGAAGCTCGGTCAGTCCCTTGTGCGCCGCCAGCAGCCGCGTCGAGTAGTCGGCCACAACATGCTGCTTGGCTGTTCCGGTAATGCCGTCGTGGTGCTGGACGAGTGCGGTTTGTCGCCGCGCGTCCACAAGGGCCGCCATGCCCTTGCTCCAGAACGTTGGCGCGCTTCGCAGGTGCCCGGTCCGCGTCCGTGCGAGCGTGTACAAAATCTCAGCCCCGCGGAGGTGGGCTTCGGTCGCCCGCGCCAGCTGCTTCAGCACCGGCCGCGTCGTGTAGTACCCGGTCCAGTACGAGTCCTCATTGTCGGCGTAGGGGAAAAAGTCGGCCTCGTACAGTGGGAGCGTCACGTCTTGGGCAGACGCGGCCTCAGCAATCATGGCATCAAAGTAGTCGGAGAGCGTGGCAAACCGGATGTTGACGCCTTCCTCGTTGGCGTTGATGTGCTCGATGAGCTGCTCCATGTTGGTGAACTGGTACTGGGCCCGCTTAAACTTAAAGTCGTCGCCAAAAGGAACAAGCAGGTTTGACGTAGCGTACGCTGCGCTTCGAGACCGCAGTTCGCGCACAAGCACGGTTGCCCGTGAGGCCACATTAGACGGCGAGATCGGCATCGAGTGCTCCTCAAAGTCAAAGCCCTTGGGGGCCGAGTAGTGGGTGTGGAGAACGTGCGTGAGGAGATCCGACTCGGGCCCGAGCGTCTCGGGCGCACCCCGCCATACAAACTCCATGTGCTTGCTGCGTTTGAACGACGACTTGAGCGCGTGGTGGATGCGGTTGATGACCAGGCCCTCAAAGCCCATCCTCGCAAACAGGCTCGGCGTCGCTGACGAGTGGCCGAACGGATCGATCTGGTACGCAAACCGCGGCCGGACTCCAAAGTGTGCCTTGAGGTATGCGTGGCCCTCGGCGATGTGGTTCATGATCGACACATAGTTGGTGTCCGCCTCGTCCGCCTGCACCCAACCGCCCTCGACAAACTCCAGCTGGCCCGACGCCACCAGATCCTCCACCGTCTGCCGCGTCTCCTCCGACTGCCGCGAGTACCACCGCGAGAAGAACGAGATTTCTGCCCAGATGAACCGCCGCCGCGCGTCTTGCTGCAGCGCCGTCACCACGTTGGAGAGAATGGCGTTGACGTCGCGTTGAAAGTAGCCCTGCTCCGGTGCTCGGCTCGGCCGCGATGTGAGTCTGTCTTCAACTGCCCGCACGCCTGCTCTTCCTGCTTCTCCCTCCCCTGACGCTTACCTCGAACGTGTTGAGCCACCCAGGGTCACAGTGCGAGTGGGCCAGAATAAAGACGTTGAGCTCGTCGCCGGCTGCTGCGGCCGGGCTGGCCAGCACTGCAGCGACGAGCCACGCGGCGACGGCCGCCCCGACCAGCAGCCTCCAGGCCGCACAGACGCGCCAGCCGCTTCCTCGTTGCTCTCTCGTCATTGAGGCCTGTCTTCAGCAACAGAGACAGTGGACGCGAGCTGCGAGTGAAGTGTGGCTACACCGCACGTCGGCGGCATGCTCGTGGCGCTTTGTGATCGACGCGGGCAGAGCCGCCGGCTCGAGTCATGGTCCGGCTCCCGACCGTCGTCGATCAGTCGGTCGGTCTGTCGGTCGGTCGGTCGAGTCGGTCGGTCGGTCGGTCGAGTCGATTTCGGCGTCCGAGCGTTCGCGCGCGCGCGAACCGAACCGGTTCGCGATTCGACGGTCGCGTGGCGGCGCAGCGACGGACACGGGCGAGAGTCGGAGACGGTCACACTCGTCAACAACGCACAGTACCTCGTTTTCGAAACGTACGTTGCAGGGGGGTGGCGTTAAAGACCTGCGGCAGGTGTGGTGGGGGTGGTGGAAGGGGGGGGGGGCGGCAGTGGTGCCGTGGACGCAGTTGTGGAAGGGGGGGGGGCGGTGCGGGTCGGCGCCCAATTCCGAATGTCCCTGGAGTGTTCGAAGTATTCGTTTGTGAGTGAAGAAGAAGGAAGAACTCACAGGCGAGCGGAGGTACAGGCACAGCAGTGGCCAGTGTGTGTATGAGCGCACCTAGCACACGGCAGAAGCACACAAACCCAAACACTCTCCACGGCGTGGGCAAACGTCCGCCGCGCGCCTTGGTCCAGCAGTCTACAGCAGACCGCAACTCACCGAAGGGTAACAAGTCTCGTAAGCGGGTCCAGACCAAGCCGACAGCAGGCATGCCGGCCAACACCACCCCCGCGGCACTCGCAGCCGGCAATGCCAACGCCAGCTCTAGTCCTGCCTCGCTCGCTCCGGCGTCCACAGGCGCCGCCGCTGCCACAAGCAAGGGCAGCGGCAAGGGCGGCAAGGGTGGCAAGGGTGGCAAGGGCAAGGGCGGCAAGGGCAAGGGCGGCAAGGGCGGCAAGGGCAAGGGCGGCGGTGGGAAGCAAAAGGGCTCTGCCGCCAACAACCAAGGTCAGAGCCAGGGCTCTAAGGGCTCCAAGGGCTCCAAGGGCTCCAAGGGTGGCAAGGGTGGCAAGGGCAAGGGCAAGAAGGGCTCCAAGCGTAGCTCGGGCTCGGCACCGACGCCCACCGACGGCTTTTATTCGGGCTCCTCCTGGGCCAACTCTCCGCCGCCGGGAGCACTGCCGCAGCCCAAGTTCAAGGGCATGCGCCGGACTGCAGGGCCAGCCGGATCGCCGGCGGTCGCCTCGTCGCCGCCGCTGGGTTCGTCGCCGCCGTTGCCGCGCGGCCCGCTCTTTACGCAGCAGCCATCACATCCTTCGCCTGCCGCGCACAGCTCGCCGCTGCCGCAGGCCCACTCGCCTGCGCCGCAGCAGTACATGACCGCGGAGCAGATTGCGGCGTGGCAGGCCCACGCCATGAACCAGGCCCACGCTCGCGCCCACGCGCACGCCATGGCCCAGGCCCAGGCCCAGGCCCAGGCTCAGGCTCAGGCTCGCTCGTCGCAGGCAGCGCAAGCAAACGTCGCTCGGGCTCATGCTCATGCTCAGGCCCAGGCCCAGGCTCATGCCCAGGCCCAAGCCCAGGCTTCGCTCAAGTCGATGCTGGGCGTGGCGCCGAGCTGATCCATACGGCTTTGTTTCTGTTGGAGGCTGGGTCACTCGAGAATGCGAATGGACGCTCCCTTGAGCGATGGCTCCACCTCCCCCAAGGGAGTGTCGGAGGGTTGCAGCGTTGTCGGCGGGAATCCGACCGACAATCTAAAGTCACTCGACACTTCCGATTGCATGGCAAGTGCCACAGCCGCAAACAGCCCGTTCACCGTGTCACGCTCGGCGTCCATCCGGATCGTCACCGGCGGACCGGGCCGCGACGGCGCAGCAACCCGCATCTGGACAACCTCACCAGCAGGTAGAGGCAGAGCAGGCTGGACAAGCGGGCTTGCAGGCTGCGCTGCTTCCTGATGCGGTGGTGTGCGTGCTGCCGACGACGTGCCGCCTGGCTGGAGCGGGCCAGCCTGCGGCGCGAGGAGCGCAGCCACGGATGCCCAGATCGAGGACAGCAGACCGGTGATAAGACCAACTAGGCTGGCGGCGTTGCCTGGCGTGGCGTCCATAGCCGCAGCCGCAGCCGTGCCTACACTCGCGCTGCCACCCAGCGTCTGCCCTGAGCCCGAAAACGCAACGTACGCCGGCGGCGGCGGCGGCTCGTACTCGGCCGGCCGCGCGTCGGTCACAACAATCGGCACGGGTGCGTCCGATCGCGGAGGCGGTCGGGTGCCCGACGGATACAATCGCTCCGCAATCGGTTGGGGAACCCGCCCTTCAACCAGAGTCTCCATCATCGCCTTATTCCCGGCGTCTGCAAAGGCAAAGAACTCGGGCTCGCTCTTGTCGCCACCACCATCGTCGACGACAACCACGACAAAGCCGTTGGCGTAGAATGTCAGTTCGAGCGAGCGGCTTGTTCCAAGGTCAGCCCCAGCGCTTGGACCACCATGATGTGCAGCCGCCGGTCTCGTTGTGCTGCTCTCGCCAGCATCATCCGTTCCGCCGCCGGCAAGCGTGTAGCCGCGTCCTGAGAACGGCGCAGGCGCCGCCGGCTTGGTCCCTGGCTCGCCTTCGGCGCGGGCGCCAGGCGGCGGAGGTTTGGCCTGGGCAAGCAGCTTGTCGACCGCCGCCTCGGCGTCATCGGCAACAAATCCCCCACCGCCAGCACCGACATAGGCGTATGACGGTGGATCGGCAGCATCGCCGTCTGCGGCCATACCTGCCGAGCCCGCCTCGTCGAGGAACGCCGCGACCGCCGCGTTGACATCGTGCCCTGTCCGTCGCATGAACTCGTCGGCTACAGCTTGCGGCGCGCCTGTGGCCTCCATAAAGGCTGCAGTGGTTGGGGGAATATGTGCCATGGCCACTTGCTCACGAGTAGTCTTGCCTGTAACTCCTCGTCCGTGGGCGGTGCAGTGTGCTCTGTGGTGGTCGAGTCGTGTTCGGCCCGGCGGTGTGTGGCGAGTCGGGACGGGCGGCAACAGACAGACGCCCAACACCACACTATCACCGAGCGGTACGTAGCAGCCGCAGTTGCGGTGAGGGTACTGCAGGGCTGGGGGAAAGGGGGGTGGAGGGTAGGGAGGAAGGGGAGGAGGAAGGGGAGGAATAAGGGGGGATGGACGAAGGGGGGGGGGGGCGAGGGGAGGGGAGGGGAGGGGGGAGGGGAGGGGAGGGGCGATGGGAGGCGACCCCCTATCTCGCCTGCCTCTTTCTACCGCCTTCCCCGTCCTCCGTCCTCCCACCCTCCACCCTCCGCCCTCCGCCCTCTTTCCTTCTCCCGCCCTCCTTACCTCTCTCCTCTCCCATCCCCTCTTCCTCCCTCCCTTTCCCCCTTCCCTCCCCCCCCCCCCCCCCTCTCTGCCCATTCTCTCCTCTCACCCCCCCCCCCCCCCGCACAGTCAGAAACATGGCTGGCACGTCGCGCAGACA